GAGGGGTGTGCCGAGATGGGTGCCACTGGGGCATTCGGCGGAGCTCCCTATGGGGACATGAAACACGCGCGGGGCGTGCCGACATGGGTGGCGGAGACGCATGTGCAGGCCGCCACTGGGGCCTCCAGTGGAGCTCCCTATGGGTCCCCGAAACATGATGCTGCTGCGGGGGGGGGGAGCCGGGATGGGTGGCGGAGACGCATGTAAGCGCCGCTACTGGGGCCTTCGGTGGAGCTCCCTATGGGGCCACGAAGCGCGTGAGGGGTGTACTGGGATGTGTGGCGGGGACGCATGTGAGCGCCGCCACGGGGGCCTTCGGTGCAGCTCTCTATGGGGCCACGAAACGTGTGAGGGGTGTGCCGAATGGGTGCGGGTGGTGACGCATGCAGGCGGTGCCACTGGGGCCTTCGGTGGAGCTCCCTATGGGGCCACGAAGCCTGTTGCTGTGAGGGGCGTGCTGGGATGGGTGGCGGGGACGCATGTGAGCGCGGCCGCTGGAGCCTTCGGTGGAGCTCCCTATGGGGCCACGAAACGTGTGAGGGGTGTGCCGAATTGGGGAGGTGTGGGTGACGCATGTGAGCGCCGCCACTGGGGCCTCCGGTGGATGGGGCCACGAAACCTGTCAGGGATGTGCCGAAATGGGCGCGCGGGACGCATGCGCATGTGAGCGACGCCACTGGGGCCTTCGGTGGAGCTCCCTATGGGGCCACGAAACGTGTGAGGGGTGTGCCGAATTGGGTGTGCGGGACGCATGCGGGCGGCAGCACTGGGGCCTTCGGTGGGGCTCCCTATGGGGCCACGAAACGTGTGAGGGGTGTGCCGACTTGGGTGTGCGGGACGCATGCGGGCGGCAGCACTGGGGCCTTCGGTGGGGCTCCCTATGGGGCCACGAAGCGTGTGAGGGGTGTGCCGAATTGGGCGTGCGGGACGCATGCGGGCGGCAGCACTGGGGCCTTCGGTGGGGCTCCCTATGGGGCCACGAAACGTGTGAGGGGTGTGCCGAATTGGGTGTGCGGGACGCATGCGGGCGGCAGCACTGGGGCCTTCGGCGGGGTTCCCTATGGGGCCACGAAACGTGTGAGGGGTGTGCCGAATTGGGCGTGCGGGGCGCATGCGGGCGGCAGCACTGGGGCCTTCGGCGGGGCTCCCTATGGGGCCACGAAACGTGTGAGGTGTGTGCCGATTTGGTTGGGCGGGACCGCATGCGGCGGCCGCAACTACTGGGACCTACGGTGGGTTTCCCTATGGGGCCACGAAACGTGGTGAGGGTGTGCCGAATTGGAGTGCGGACGCCCCATCGGGCGGACAACACTGGGGGGCCCCGTCGTGGGGCACCTATGGGGCCACGAAACGTGTGCAGGGGTGTGTCGACATAGTGTGCGGGACGCAAATGCGGCGCAGCACTGGGCCTTCGGTAGGGGCTCCCTATGGGGCCACGAAACGTGTGAGGGGTGTGCCGAAGTGGGTGAGCGGAACGCCATGCGGACGCAAGCACTGGGGCCTTCGGTGGAGCTTCCTATGGGGCCACGAAACGCGTGAGGGGTGTGCCGAAGTGGGTGTGCGGGACGCATGCGGGCGGCAGCACTGGGGCTTTCGGTGGGGCTCCCTATGGGGCCACGAAACGTGTGAGGGGTGTGCCGAATTGGGTGTGCGGGACGCATGCGGGCGGCAGCACTGGGGCCTTCGGTGGGGCTCCCTATGGGGCCACGAAGCGTGTGAGGGGTGTGCCGGATTGGGTGTGCGTGACGGATGCGGGCGGCAGCACTGTGGCCTTCGGTGGGGCTCCCTTATGAGGCCACGAAACGTGTGAGGGGTGTGCCGAATTGGGTTGTAGCGGGACGCAACAATGCAGGGCGGCACCACCTGGGGCCTTCGTGAGGCCTCCCTATGGGGCCACGAAACGAGTGAGGGTGGTCGCCCGAATGGTGTGCGGACGCAATGCGGGCGCAGCAACTGGGCCTCGGCGGAGCTCCCTAAAGGGGCTACGAAACGCTTGTAACTGGGGGTGAAACGCAAGAAGAGGGGGATGAGAGGAGGAGGGGAGGGAGGAGGAGACGCGGGGCACCGTCTCTTCAAAACGAGGACCCAACACCACAGGATGGTTGGGAAAAAAAGAGAATCGTCCCCAGACTATGTTTTAAAAGTTTTTGGATATTCCTCCCGTCGAGGGACAGGCCCGACTTACACATTGGGCCGATTCTGGGCCCCTGGCGGCGGCGCTCAGCCTGGAGCGTCCGCGGCGGGGCGGCCGCCACGGCGGCGCGGCACCGTGCCAGAGAGTACCGTGCGCTCCCAGCCCAGGGGGGCGGGGAGCCGCCCTGCCCAGAGCGCCCCGGAGAGCACAGGAGGAATGTTCAAAAACAGTGGAAAAAATAGGCCGGGGACGATGTCTGGATCATTTGTAAACAAAAAAAAAACTGTTGCATGTATGTTTTGACTATGTTTCAGGTTTCGTCCCAAATCCGCCTGTAGGGGGACATGCCCGACCTAGGTTTAGGTCGGGCATGGGGGGGGGGGGGGGGGGGGGGGGACGGAGGGGGGGGGGGGGGGGGGGGGGGGGGGGGGGGGGGGGGACAAAAAAAAAAAAAACTCCCAAAGGGTCCAAACATAGTTGCAAAACATCGCCTCCAAGCGGGGTTGGGTGTGGACAGTTCGACCCTCCGCGCGGATCGCCCTCTTGTCGCCCTCCTCCTTGGCGACCTCGTCGTCGTGGTCGATGTCCTTCAGCTGCTTCTCCATGGCGCGGTCCTCTTTCTCCTCCTCTCGCGGGGGGGCCAGTCGAGGCACCGGCGGCCCCTCCGAATGAGAAGGAGGAAGGGGGGGGAGGAGGGAGGAGGAGGAGGAGGAGGAGGAGGAGGAGGAGGAGGAGGAGGAAGGAGGAGGAGAGGAGGAGGAGTAGGAGGGAAAGAAGAAGGAGGAGGAGGAGGGAAAGAAGAAGGAGGAGGAGGAGGGAAAGAAGAAGGAGGAGGAGGAGGAGAGAAAGAAGAAGGAGGAGGAGGAGGAGAAGGAGGAAAAGGAGAGGAGGAGGAGGAGGAGGAGGAGGAGGGGAAGAACGAGAGTGAAAGAGGAGGAGGAGGAGGAGAAGGACGAGGACGAGGACGAGGGGAGGGAGAACGAGGCGGGGGGAAGCCGGGGAGGGGAGCATCAGGGGCGGAGGAGAGTAAGAAAGGGAACGTGGAGGGGGGCCGCCGGTGTAGCGACCAGGCCTTCCTCGGTCCTGCTTCTCGTCCCGCACCACCTGCCGCCGGATCTTCCGGTAGGCGTCCTCCCCGTTGCGATCTTCCACGTCGCCCAGCTTCTCCATCGAGTCCACGACCACCCTCATCTTCTCCTCTCGCGCTCACTCTCGGCGGGAGCGAAGGAGGAGGGGGTGAGCGGAACGCGACCATTGACTTCGACGCACCGCGGCTGCCTCCAGCAGGCTCGTGAGCGAGCTGGCGGCATGCGGGTATCTCGTATGCTTATCATGTCTGGATTCGCGCACACATACACCACTTCATTGCATATGCACATGCGTATGCATATATATGTACAGGCACATCTGCACATATATATATATATATATGTATGTGTATATGCATCGCTTGTGATCAGTATTGTCTTATACATGTAGGTCAGTGTATACAAGCATATCTATACATATACACAAACGCAGGTGGATGTGCAGAATGTGTGTTGTGTGTCATGCGTGTGTGTTATGCGTGATGTGTGTTGTGTGCGTGTGATGTGTGCTCTGTGTGCTATGTGAATTATGCGAAGTATGCGTATTATGCGTGTTATGTGTGGTCGGTGAGTTGAGTGTGTGCGTTGTGCGTGCGTGTGTGGTGCGTGTGCTGGGTGTATTGTGTGTGGTGCGTGCGTGCGTGTGTGTATATGTGTGTGGGTGTTCTCTGTGTGTTCCGTGTGGTCTGTGCGTTGTGAGCGTTGTGTCTGTGTGTTCTGTCTGTGTTGTGTATATAGAGTGCTGTTTGTGGTGTGTGTGTGTGAGTTCTGTGCGTATTCTGAATGTGCTGTACGTCGGGGCTCGATATTGGGAGGATGTCTCAGGCGAAACGGCCTGTTTCTAAGAATCAAACTCCAAAGGGGCTCGATGATTGGAGGATATCTCAGGCGAAACTGCAATGTTCGAAAAGGCATCTCGAAATCATTGTTACAATGTTGAAGACCCCTTGTGCTGTTAGACCCTGACGTCGCGATCTGCGTGAGGGGCGCGTCCAATTCTCAAAATTGTGAAGATGCCCAAAGCGAAACTGCCAAACAAATCGTGAACGGAACCAACGATTCGCCTCGGAACTATTCTCCTTCCGAAAAGTGCGTGCGACAATAAACATATCTATATATATATATATATATATATATATATCAGAGTGGAAGTGTTGAACGGTAATTCACTGTCCCTGGGTGCGTTGCTGAAGTGGCGTTCCGCGGTGGAGATGTTGGTTATCTTGTGCTACGTTGCGTTGCCATTCGTTGTTGTTGTCCTCGTCCCTCTCGCGACCGGGCCCGCGACCCACCCGCGACGCGCCCGCGACCCACCCGCGACCAATCCGCGACCCACCCCGCGACCCACCCGCGACCCACCCCGCGACGCACCCCACGACCCACCAGCTACCCGTCCCCGACCCGCCCGCGATCCACCCTGCGCCCGCCCCTATAATTCTTATCCGCATCTGCGGAGTGATACATATGTGTACATTATATGATATATACAGGGAGTTTGGAAAAAAAAAAAAAAAAAAAAAAAAAAAAAAATGTTTAACAAGGAATTTGAAATTCTAGGTTGTCGCGTAGAGATCGCAGCCCCGAAGCGGGGTAGTAGATAACAAAACTGGGATTCCTTCAAACAAGAACCAGGGCAGCGACGCGGCATGAAACAAAACAAGGTCTCGTCTGGGAGTTGTGCTGGGGGGAGATATAGGCGAAGATCTGGGGGAAGATCTGGGCGCAGATCCGAAGGACAAAATCTGGGGAAGATCTTGGGGGAGATCCGGGCGAAGATATGAAGGAAGATCTGGGCGAAGACCTAAGGGGGCATCAGGGTGAAGATCTGGAGGAAAATCTGGCGAGATATCCGGAGGGAGATCCGGGGAAGATCTGGGGAAGATCTGGGCGAAGATCCGGCGGGAGATCGGGGCGGGAGATCGGGGCCACCTCCCTGGGGGCGGATGGGAGCGCTGGACATTCCCCAACGTGGAGGCGCTCGTTGACGACCCCACTCGGCAGTTGCTCGACGCGTTCGACGCCTCGGTGCTGGAGCAGCTGCGGAGCGACGCCGCCCTCCACTGGCGCGGGGAAGGCCTGCAGCGCGGGGCCGACCTGGCCCCCCACCGCCCAGCAGCACCAGCACCTCGCGCCGCCCCTGGTCTCTATCGCAGCTGGCGGCTCTTGGCCTGGCGAGCGGGTCGCCGACACCTTCGGCGCGCAGGACTCCGTCGGCTGCATCTGTCCCAGGTGCGGGCGCGAAGTGGAGACGCCGCTGCACGGGATGTGGACGTGCGAGGCCAACCAGGGGTCCAAGGCCCACGACCTCAGCGCCCACCTCGTCGCGAGAGCACATCCTGAAGCTGAGGCCTACCCTTACTTCTGGTTTCGAGGCGCCCCACCCGCGAGGTGGGCCCGTGTCCCTGCTCCTCCCGACGAGCGCTGCTGGACCCAGCAGGGACTCGGCATCGGCACCACGCGCGACCCCTCGCGCTGTTCGGCGACGCCAGCGGCGGGCCCGACTCGATGCATCCCCAGCTTCGTCGGGTGGGCGTCGCCTTGTGTCGCGTTCGTTGCGAGGCCACTGAGGTCGATAGCGCCATCTTCGGCCCCCTCGCAAGTGCACGGCAGACGGCTCATCGTGGCGAGCTTCAGGCTGTGGTGCTAGCAGCCTGCCACTCGCGTGGCCCCACGGTTTTATTCACCGACAACTTGGCTGCCTGCGAGGGTGGTGGCAGCTGTGCGACGAGCATCCTGCAGAAGCAGGGCAGGAAGCCGACCTGTGGCTCGCCTTACGTAGCGCGTTCCAGCACCGCCCCAGGAGCAACTTCACCGTCAAGCACGTGAACTCGCACCTCACGTCTCAGGAGGCGCAAGAAAGATAACTACCTCAGGAAGTGTTGCGGGGCAGCGCTATCGCTGACGTATTGGCTAGTCACGCTGCGGATCGAGGACGACTTGACAGCGGTGTTCGGCAGCAGCTTCTGACCACGGAGGTGCTCGCGACCCAGGTCCGATGGCGGCTACTGAGGGCCACCATCGACGCCACGGCAGCCGCTGAGGCCCGCGGTCGGCCCCGTCGCCGCCCTTGCCGACGCGTGGCCCCGCCCTCCATCGGCATGGCCACCGCCTTCAGCTCCACGCACGCGCTGCACGACGACGGGATTAGCTGTCGGAGCTGCCGTACGTCTGCAGGGAACACCAGTCGAGCAGCGTGGCTATCCAGCGCATGCAAGGGGCTCGTGGCTTGTGGTAACGATTGGGCCCGCCTTGCCTCGGTCGACGTCCCGTTGCACATCGGCGACCAGCAGGTGTCACATACGATGCAGCTGCAGGTATCTTTGGGCGTTTGGGCGTGCATGGCATGTGGCTGCTATGCTTGGCCAGGGCTGCGTTCTCTCGGGCGGAGCCTGCTCGCCAGCTGCCAAGGGGCCACACCAGCTGGGCGAGAGCACCTCGAGCGACTACGTCAAGGACACTGGCCGAAGGCAGGCGTCACCCTGTGCCCCGACGACGACGACGACGACGACGACGACGACGACGACGACGGGCACATCGCCGAGCGCGCTGTCGACGACGATGGCACCTTGGACGTCATCCAGCTGCCGCGGAGCCAGGCGGAGCCCCCTGGAGCTCGCGCGGCCGCGGCTGGTCGCTGGCGGGCCAGCGGGCCTACGTGACGGTCGGGACGGCGGCGACGCTCAAGATGCCGAGCAGGGCCCTGGCGTCAGTTCGCAAAGTCCTGGCGTGCCAATGCGGCTACCAGGCTCAGTCGCCACGGGCGTCAGTTCGCAAAGTCCTGGTGCGCCATTGCGGCTACCAGGCTCGCCGTCGCCACGTGAGCCCAAGCTCGGCATCGCTCTGGACGCTGTGGAAGAGCGTGCCGCTACTGGAGGGGTAACGTGGGCGGGTTCCGATCACCACGAGGGACGGCGCGATGGCCAGGGGGGCCGGGGAGCAGCTCTGGGAGCACCCCAAGGCTCCCCCCCCCAAGGCAGGCACAGCCACGCGACCGCTCCATGAGCGACACCCAGACGGAGGATGACGAGGTGGTGCGCACGGACTACGGCACGGACTACGGCTCGAGTTCAGATATGCTCGAGGTTCCCGTCGAGGGAGGCAGGCGCAGGCGCTTCTGTGGCGCGAGGCCGCCCGCCGCGCGGGCGCTCGGCCCTGGCGTCGGCCCTCGCGCAGGAGGACCTGCAGCGAAGGCACGTGACCCACTTGCTGCTGGGCGTGACGGTGGTGCCGACCTCGCCTGGGGAGGTGGTGAGCGTGGCGTAGTGGTCAGTCATCACGGTGCCAACCCGTGGTCACGTGGTGATGTCGGGGGCTGCCATCACGGTGCCCACGCCTCGGAACTAGCCCTGGAAGGTCGTGCAGTCGGGGTTCGTGACCAGCTCGCGGCGGAGCGTGGCGGCGCAGGCAGCGACGTGGAGCCCGAAACCGTGTTCGGCGCCGAGCGGAAGGGCCCCGAGGCGCTGGCACTCCCCCATAGAGAGCTCCTCGGACACCACCGCGGACGACGACGACATCGT